AGACTGGACTCATTCTGTGTCTAAGAAACACCCCGATCAGACTGAAGAGTCAAAGCAGTGCCAGACTATAATCTACTGATTCCTGATGATTTGTTGTACCAACCTCTAAGAAGTTGTAGTACCTCCTCTGACCATTTGCAAGGGTGGTGCTGTAGTACAGCATAGAGCAGGCCAGCAGGTCTCTTCTCCAGCAATCCGCCATGATGGTACAGATATTAAAGTTGCTGGGTCCTGCTGCAGGGACATACCAGGAGAGACGGTCCCGTAAGTACAAGGGTCCTAGACCGCATAGGCCTTTAAAGGTCAAAACCAGCATGGAACTGGCTCCACAAAAGTTTTTCAGTGGCCAACCAGATGATGAAGAAGAAGAGTTTGGATTTGATATCCCACATTATCACTACCCTAATGAGTCTCAAGGGACGCGGGTGGCGCTGTGGGTTAAACCACAGAGCCTAAGACTTGCCGATCAGAAGGTCAGCGGTTCGAATCCCCACAACAAGGAGAGCTCCCGTTGCTCGGGCCCTGCTCCTGCCAACCTAGCAGTTCGAAAGCACATCAAAGTGCAAGTAGATAAATACTACCCGGTGGGAAGGTAAACAGCATTTCCGTGCGCTGCTCTGGTTCATCAGAAGCGGCTTAGTCATGCTGACCACATGACCCGGAAGCTGTACGCCGGCTCCTTTGGCCAATAAAGTGAGATGAGCGCTGCAACCCCAGAATTGGTCACGACTGGACCTAATGGTCAGGGGTCCCTTTACCTTTAAGGAGTCTCAAAGCAGCTAACAATCTCCTTTCCCTTCCTCCCCCACAACAAACACTCTGTAAGGTATGTGAGGCTGAGAGACTTCAGAGAAGTGTGACTAGCCCAAGGTCACCCAGCAGCTGCATGTGGAGGAGCGGAGACGCGAACCCGGTTCACCAGATTACGAGTCCACCGCTCTTAACCACTACACCACACTGGCTCTCCACAGATGGGAAGCTTGCAAGGAGGACCTGAGCCCCATCTGCAAAATCCAGCAACTGATATTCAGAAGCGTTCTGCCTTGGACAGTGGAGGCACAGGATATGCATCATGTCTGGTAGCCACTGAAAGTCTTACCTCATTCATTTGCCTACTCCTGTTTTAAGCAGAATTCCCTCTGTAGAGCAACTTGTCAGGTTATTTCTATTCTAATATTTAGGAAAACTGCAAGGGTTTTCCTTTCCTGTTTCAGAAAACTTTTTTGTAGGTGGGCGGAGAAGGCAGTACTTGCTTTTTCATTGTGTTGGTTGTTTCTCTTAAGTTGCTTCTCTACTGTTTTAGACTTGTACTGTTTTAGACTTGGGTTCTGTTGTGCTTTACTTATTGCTGTTATACGTTTTATCGCTGCTAAGTGTTTTTACGATATACTGTAAGCGGCTCCAAGAGCTTTTTGGAAGCGTGTGACAGGAAAATAACATAACAGCAAAGAAAGAAAGAAAGAAAGAAAGAAAGAAAGAAAGAAAGAAAGAAAGAAAGAAAGAAAGAAAGACACACCCGAGTCAGCCATGGCCTTAACGTAACCTCTGTTCAATGGAATTCCATGTCCTACAAAATGTAAAGAACTAAAATGCTATTGTGTCAATAACTTTCATCACAGCTGTGACCAGAAAACAAAACCTGATCAATAAACACACCCAGTCAATGCAAAAAAATAAAAGAGTAAATAGGTTTGCCAATGAATATGAGCACAGGAAACAAACAAGGAAGCAAGGATTGCCCTAGCTTACCTTCTTTGCCATTTTCTTTTTTTAAAAAAGTTTTTATTTGACATTTTATAGTATCTTCATCGATTCCTTTATACATTTCAACATTTAACCATTTTCACCTCAGCACAGCATAAAACTATGCACTCTTATTTACACAGAATAAATGTATACAAGCGCTTTTTGTCTGGCATGAAAGGTGTGTAGTACAAATGGCTGAGTTCTTACCCGCCATCTATGGCAGATCAATGCAAGTTCCGCTGGTTCTCATGCAAATCACTCTACACAAAAGCTGGCCTCTTGACATCTCTCAGTGATGGCTCACACCAGAGTGGCTGGGGAAACCCAGGCAGACGGTGGGAGGGGAATAATAATAATAATAATAATAATAATAATAATAATAATATAAAGCGATGCCTCGACCCTAGAGAAATGCCACAGCTGAAGACACATTTTCCACAATGCACAGAACACTGATGCTCAGCACACAGAATTAAAACATACTGGCTGTGACTTGTTAAATACATAAACATAACTGCATTTTAGGGCAAGAAGCCTATCCAGTATTGAACATCAGTGGCATGGAAACAGGGATCACGAACTTAAAATACTGTTTCCATTTTCCTTTCTACTGCCAGCTCTGCTGTGACAATCTCTGTCTTATATGAAAGCTACAGTCTTAAAAGTGCAGCTCCTCTGTAGAAACTTCTGCTCATATGGAAGCGACTTGCATCCAAATCATACAGGCCCCAAACGCAATTTGTAAGTAGAACTGCCCGCAAGACCCTTAATGACAGTAACCTGTGCCAGAAAAGTCTCTGTGGTTGCATCGACCACAGCGCTGAGCCCGTTAGCATGACTTAGCCGAGGACTCAAAACAGGGAAACTCCTGCAAGGCCAAATCATGTACTGGTAAAGGGCTGGAACTGTTTTAAAGAGAAAAGGGCTGAAGTTCAGCTTTAGCTAAGCAGGAGAAAGAAAGAAAATCACCTCTAGTCTCTAGGACAGAAAAGGTTTAAAGGCTAAAGTGTAGATTCAACCAAGTTTAAAGATGGTCACATTTCGATGCTCCCAGTGGGACCTAACCTCGACTCTGAACCTTTCTTAATCACTTCTAGTCACAGGTTTTTGTGCATTCTGTAGTGAGTCATGGCAGCTAGACTGTATAGACTTGGGACTGCAGGCTAGTCACTCATTCGTTTTGGAAGCTCTTTCCCTCATTACCTATAGCAGCAAGAGGGTGGAAACTAGTCACAGGTACAGATTTAGTAGTATTCTGCAAGGAAACCACAGCTCAGTGAGCATCAAGACGCTGTAGAGCAATGGTTCCAAATGTGGCCGTTAAGAGGCAAGAGGGTAGCTGGGAGGGGTGTGTGTGTGCTGGAGGTGTCAATTACTATCAGACTTTGAAAAGCTGGCAACGTTAGATCAAGTTCACCAATTCTGTTGAATTAAATAGATTTAATCGGGTTTTGAATAAACATGCAATTCCTACATGGAATTGGCGGAAATGACTGGTAGAATCCGAGACCAGGGAGAAGAGTCGGTGGAAGAAGATTGGAAGAAAATTAAAGCTTATTTACAGAAATACTCTAAAATTAATGAATGTTAGAAAGATGCTGGAAAGAAGTTATATGACTTTAGTAGAAATATTATAAAGAATTAAGTATGAATAGCCAATATTGGGTAAAGATGTAAATTTAAGTTTAAAATTTTGTTAAATTAAATTATGGAACTAAATTTGTGAAAGAGGGAAAGGACTTGCTAGAACATTTAATTGAATTAGAATACAAAAAAGGAGGTGTGAGGAAGTCGAGGAAATAAGCTAATGAAAGATAAGGATATGAAAATATGGGGTTCTTTTGTATGTATGTCTGTTCTTTTTTGCAGTTTCTTTTTAATGTTTTTGTTTTCTTTTTTCTTCTTGTTTTTAGGTATTGTTGATGTCCTGTATATTTCTCTTGTGTTTTTCTTTTCTTTTTTGTAATGTTTAAACTTTAATAAATATTTATTAAAAAAAAAAGAATAAACATGCAATTCATTGCTCCTGCTTCGGACTTCACTGTGTTAATATCTCCCTTAGCGGGTCATGCAAACCACTGTTCTGAACAATGCAGTTTGTAGGGTAGGGTAGAGGGCATTGGGGATGAGTTTATGGATCCAGAGAGGCTGTGATCCCAAAATATTTGGGAATCACTGCCCTAGAGTATCACAGCTCCAGGCAAAGTTTGAAGGGAAAAAAATGAGCTAAGCAAGTTGGGCACCTGTATGGTTGAGCCAGCAGCATTCTAGAGTAGGGTTTCACAAACCTGGGTCGCTAGCTGTTTTGGGACTACAACTCCCATGATCCCTAGCTAGCAGGACCAGTGGTCAGGGATGATGGGAATTGTAGTCCAAAAACAGCTAGAGACCCAAGTTTGGGAAACCCTGCTCTAGAGTAAACTTGGAAGCAAACTTCAAAACACAGGATATATATATATAGTTGATTTTTAAGATCACTGATATTATCATTGCCAGATCTTGATGACTCCGTCCCAGCCACATGTAGCAAGGAGCGACGGAAGGACTGGATGGAAAGTTGCGCACACGCAGGCCTGGCTTTGCGCGGACAGCGTGCGAACGATCCGAGCCGTGCGATAGTTGTAGAAAAACACTTTGCCCTCCGAACTCCCCGTGACGAGCAGCATTCCGTCTGGGGAAAACTCGCAGCCTATCGCAAATCCTTCAACCTGCAAGAATCCGGAACCGAAAGAGGTTAAATAAATCAAGATGTTAATTAAGGAAATGGGATATGATCTATAACCTCCCGAAATTTCATAGTGTAATAAACATGTCAGTTTTTACCATAATGGCCTAATTGCTTCCCTAGGTGTTTATTAAGACAGCCCCATTAAGGACTTTACATTGTTAGCGGCAGCCGGTTTATACGTGACAAGGCTATTAGCAACTAATAACACTTGCAGGTATTTTAAGCTCTACTCGCTCCTCAGTTTAGTTCTAAATTAACTAAAATATAGAGAACAGGGTTGAAGTCGATTAATTTTTATCCCCACTGTAAATCAGAAGCATAAGCAGGCATTTAAAAGGGCAAGATCTATTACGAGTTTGCAGAGAGGGGAGGATACCTTGTGCCCTTCGTATATCTTCTTTTTGTTCATTCTGTAGGGCCGCAGGCTAGAGAACAAGGCCAGGTAGTTGCCATTTGTCTGAGCAACGAAGGCAGGCTCCTTAGGATGCGGTGCAAAACTGGGGCAGGTGTAACGTTCCTGTGTGCAGAATTGGGAAGAACGGCAGAAGGATAAAGCCTTGGCTCCAAGTTCTAGTTCCAAAATTGTACCAGGCCTATAATCGAGCCTGAGCAGAACAAACCACATAATCATAGAATCGTGATATTGCAGAGTTGGAAGGGATCCCGAGGGTCATCTAGTCCAACCCCCAGCAATGCAGGAATCTTTTGCCCAATGTGGGGCTTGAACCAAGAATCTCACGCTCTACCGACTGAGCTATCTACGATCTTTCCTTGTTTTGACGCAGGTCCACTTCCCCAGCCCTTCTTCTGTTTCACCTGCATCTAATTTTCTATTGTAAGCTCCTCAGGGCAGGGGCCTGTCTTCTGTGGAATGCCGTGCATGGTGACGGCTACTAAATAAACGTGAGCAGAGCTAAATGGAAAAAGGAAACCTGAAAATGATTTTCTGACAAACTCTCCGAGGGTTTTCTTTTCTGCCCTTTCCCCCAGCTGAACTGTTGGAGAAAGGCACCTTCTACCCGACAACACAGTGGAAAACCTGGGTGCAAATGTGGATCCAACCCAATTTACATATTGTTGACAGTAGTATCTGTGCCCTACTCCTCCCCACTGCTTCCTTCATCTGCCTGTATGAACAAGCAATAGAGTTTTGAGCAGAAAATAATAACCAGAAGACAAATTTCTGGGTATTTGCTGGGGTGTGTGTTTATGTCCTGTTTACGAAACTACACTCTCCCAGAGCAAAATCCTCCAACCCCTGATTTCACCACCTACAAACTGAGTCGAGGAATTTGATCCAACCCTACAACAAGTAATAAATTTACGTTAGAAATGAACCGCGCAGTATTTATTTAGTTGATGCTACGAAAACGCACAAAGAAATCCCACATGTGTCAGAACAATCAGAAATCATTTCTGTGATATGATTTAGCGGCAGCAAAAATCAACCCTGCATACAATTTGCTCTGCTCGCTTTGCTGCACAGCCGTATCGGAGTAATTTGTACGACTGACGATCGTGTCGCTTCAGGGAGACGGGACACGTGTTGCAAATTATTCCCTTTTAACGACGAAAGCAGCAAATGTTGATGGAGGAAATGAGAAGTGCTTCTTAAAAGAAAGTTGCGCTCCTGCAAAACAGGACTCAAGCAGCCCTTTCAGGACATCCCAGTGCCAGCCTCGTTTCCTTTGACCACTTGCTCACGCTGGAGTGTGACATCAACTTTTGTGACCATCTTTCCCAATTTCTCCACGTGATAGTGCGTAAAGACAAAAGGCAGATCTTTCCAGGTGCTAATTTGGTGGAAATTGTTCTGCATTTATCCAACAGGAGTGTGGAGGAAGGAAATCCATATGACCATGGAGGACCATGGGCGTGGGCAGGATTTGTTTGGGGGGCAGGCTTCTGCTGAGGGGGAGAACCTCAATTAATTGAGTACTTTCAATGCTTTTCAATATATTTTGCAGATCTCCCGTGACCTCCTCAGTAATTTTCATTCCTTCTCATTGTGGTACTCAGGCTGTGACATATGATCAGCCCCCATACACATGAGAAGGGGTGTCAACTTGAATTAAATATTGGGGGGAGGGGCAGGTAAGCCCTGCCCAGCATAAGCAATCACATGATTGCTTGCACATGCACACCATTTGAATGGCAATGCCCATCAACTTCCTCAAATATTTTATGGGTGGGGTTGGCTCCTAGGAGTTGACTCCTATGCACAAGAGGGAGGTATCAGCAACCTAGAAGTAATGCAACATTTGCAGAAGTTCAAGGAGTAACTTCTTCACACAGCACATAGTTAAAATATGGCCACCAACATGAGCATCGCTTATTTCCACAGATTCCTCCCCGGAGCCAGTTTTTAGGAAGCCGCAACAGTGAAAGAGATTCACCACGTTTAAACTAAGCCATTCCTTCCATATGTAATACCTGAACTGTTTTTGTCTGAGGTTTTTACCATACCAGCTCTTAAACGATCTGGACCCAGACACTTAGTGTTTCAATTGAATTAACCACTTCTCCTGGTGTATCAATAAAAAAATCCATAAATAATCCATATATATCATCTATCTATCTAGACATCATGGCTGGTAGCCATTGACAGCCTTATCCTATATAAAGGATGGATCAGGTCATTTGTTCCAGTGTAGAATGGACAGGAGGCTCAGATGCAAAAGTCAGCTGTTTTAGAAAAGAGAGAAAGAAAGGCAAACCATGGAAGTTGTTTTGGCTCAATGAATGGTGTTTACCCTCGATGAAAGTGGAAATTGACTTTTCAGTGTATTGGGAGTGCACGCAGCCTTCCATCTGAAAGATTAGAGATGGAAATTTATGAAACTAAAGGCATTTTTTTCGGGTAATTGTTTACCAAAAAAACCCCCCAAACCAACCCTCAATTTCACGCTAGCTCTAGAGAGCGCAGTAAACTGCCCCATTCAATAACACTCTCCTTTTTAACTCCCAAGGAAATCATTTTGTTTAAGCTTCTGAATACATCAGAACTGAGTGCTCTGCAGTTTCTTATTCACTGAAGCGCGTTGCTTTTGAAGTGCAAATGACTAACCTACTATCACAATTTATGCACTGGATTGTGCATCTGCAAATCCGGACAAAGGCAATCACGGAAAGTTGGGAATGGGCAAGTTCTATTAAATCATCCACTCCATCTCTCCGCGAGGACAGAATTGTTCTTTTCAGAGATAAATGGATGCAAACTGACCCTGATTCTTTATGTTTTCAAAAGAGACTTGAGTTTCCGCAGACTTCCTACTATATGTGAAACGGATGGATTTATGTAGGAAACGCCTTTTAAAAATGGTGCAAAATCATTACACTGCACAAGATGGCGGTTCTAAAAGCAGCCAGCTTCATTCTGCAGGAAGTTGCAAGAAACTAACAACAGGGAGGTGTCTAACAACTTCCTGTTCCTAAAAAAGCAGGTGTAGGGAATCTGTTTCTCCTGTCAAGAGCCTCATTTCCACAAAATAATCTGTTAGGGCAGGCTTCCTCAAACTCGGCCCTACAGATGTTTTTGGCCTACAACTCCCATGATCCCTAGCTAGTCTCAAAACATCTGGATGGCTGATTTTGAGGAAGCCTGTGTTAGGGGCACCTGAGAACAGTGGGTGGGGTCACAGCCAGCAGTTGCCAGAGCAACACCAAAGTGGGAGGAGCCAGATTAAATGCTTGGAATTTGAAACTAGGCCAATGGCCACAGCTTCCCTAGCTGTGCCAAAAGCCCAAGACTGAAATCTGAGAGCGGGTTCACGTTTCATCCCACAGAAGTGCACAGGAATGACCCCCGAGCTACTGCAGAGGGCGGGATTCAGCCAGGGGCACCAACCTGAATAAACTCCATAATTGATCACAAGACACACACACCATTTGAATGGCAATGCCCATCAACTTTGAGAGGGCATTGCCTCCTCAAATATTTTATGGAGGAAGTGAAGGGACTTTGACCCCTAGGAGTAGGTTCCTGTGGATTCAGCTAATGATTCCCATCTGTGGAAGCCTGACTTCCACCTTTGCAACAGGAAGCTTTCCCCCTCCTGTCCCCATGTGCCCCCCCCCAAAAAAATAGCCCTGCGGAGATCGGGAGAACCCCCCAGAACAGGGCGTGGGGAGAGGAGAGGGGCGATCATTCTGCCTGGCAAGCCGAAATGTCTGCCCTGATGGAACAAGACATAACACAACACAACACTCCCAGGGTACATATGGCTACACAACATCTATGATCCTTGTCCTCTCATTTTTAGTGGAGGTGCCTGAGTCCCTGATTCACAGGTGAATTTTGAATGCAATAGCAATAGCCTTGCAAGCCTGAAGCTTGCTCCTGTGTCCCACTGTGTGTAGACCCTACACACCAAAGGAAAGTTATGAATCAGCTTTAGAGATATTTAGTATAAGGAGGATTTCTTCCTAGGAGGAACACAGGGACCTACCTTTTATCAGACTATTATGCTGTGAACCGCCCTGAGATCTACAGGTACAGGGAGGCATACAAATTTAATAAATAAATATTTGTCCAAAAACTTCATCAAAGACTGGGGGAAATTTGTGGGTTATTTGAAAGGTTACCGTACACATGTAAGTTCGTTAGCAGGCTTAACTTAAACCAGACAGTTAAAATTAATGCTAAAGGAAAACTAGGGAGTAATTAATAATTGGAATAATGAAGGAAATGCAGTGTTACAAATCTTAAATAAATAAATAAATAAATAAGAAACCACAAAAGGGGGGGGAGTCAAAATAAACATATTTGTTGGAAAATATTGGATCTGTATTTTTGTCAAAATATTTTTGAAAAACTGAAAAATAAAATTTATTATAAATAAATATTTGCCCAACCAGCCCAGTACAGACTACTCTAAATGGGAATAGCACTATAGAGTCTCAGTTAGAGACTCAGTTAGAGAGCCAGTGTGGTGTAGTGGTTAAGAGCGGTAGGCTCGTAATCTGGGTAACCGGGTTCGCATCTCCGCTCCTCCACATGCGGCTGCTGTGTGACCTTGGGCTACTCACACTTCTCTGAAGTCTCTCAGCCCCACTCCCCTCACAGAGTGTTTGAGGAAGGGAAAGGAGAATGTTAGCCGCTTTGAGACTCCCCAGGGTAGTGATAAAGCGGGATATCAAATCCAAACTCTTCTTATTATTATTATTATTAGTTCCCACTACCTGATACCTAATTCCCTTTAACGTGCCTTGCCAGGGACTGAACCTAGGACCATCTACCTGCAAATTACGAGCTCTAACACTGACCCACAGTTCCTCCTGCCTGTGAATAGAAGACTGAACTTCTGCATCCTCTCCCCAAAACTGAGCAGTGTGACGAATAATATGTTTCATGATTTGACAGCTACAAGGAATCCGGTTGGAACTCAAGAATGTGCTAGAGAACCAATGGGGACTTGTGGACAGAGCGATGTGTCTGATGTTCCCGAGTTCCAATCCTACCTCAACCATAACATAATGGTTGCGGCCAGGCAGAGAGCTGTCTGGTTACAAGCCCACGGAGTGAGAGGAATCAAGGACTAAATAATCAAGAGATTAGCATGCATGCGTGAATCAGCTCTTTGCTACATCACTAATCAGCCCAGGTTGACATTTCTAACGGTGCGCCACCATGCATATTTACTTCAGAAGCAAGTCCCACTGTGTTCAATGGGGGTTCACTCCCTGATGAGCGTGCATAGTAAATGAAATATAAATATGCTTGAAACAAATGCATGAATAGTTCTCTGGTTCGTTTGACATTTATAATCAAAGAGTAAATTAAGGGCTGTTAAAGAAGCATAATTATTGTCTAAAATGTGCTTCGTACAAAAATAAAATAAAACAATGTAAAAAATGGCTTGAGTACAGAAGTGCTGGGCTGTAGTGTCAGTTGCAACCTTCCATTGTAAAGCAAATGTGATCAGTGTGTAGCAAAATGGAATCAAAAACAATTTAGACCAGGTGCTGCACAGACGGACTTAATTTTTTGCTCTATAAGACTCACTTTTTCCCTCCTAAAAAGTAAGGGGAAATGTGTGTGCGTCTTATGGAGTGAATGCAGGCTGCACAGCTATCACAGAAGCCAGAACAGCAAGAGGGATTGCTGCTTTCACTGCGCAGCGATCCCTCTTGCTGTTCTGGCTTCTGAGATTCAGAATATTTTTTTTCTTGTTTTCCTCCTCCAAAAACTAGGTGTGTCTTGTGGTCTGGTGCGTCTTATAGAGCGAAAAATACAGTAACTTAATAAGGCTCCAAGATGCTGTTGAGAAACGGGGCTCTTTCCAGGCTGACAAGAGTTTGGGAAGTTTACTTGGCACTGTGGAAAGTGGGAAGGTGATTATTGTTATCATTGCTAAGACTGGGCCTAACAATCTGAAGCTAGCAAGATACACAAACAATAGTCTGGAGTCACAATCCTCCGCCACAGCAGACTCCCGGGCAAGATGCCATTTTTCAGGCAGCTTGCTGATCCAGAACTCAAGATGTAAAGCTATCAATTCAAGGATAATAACACCTTGAAGAAATTAATATTGTAGTGCTCTGACAAGAACTTGGGAGCAAATCCCACTGAACTTCATGAGGCCTACTTCCAACTATCCATGCAAAATAATGAAGGGTGCTCTGCTGTTTCTCCTGAGCTCTGCACCTACAGATTGCAGCACAACGCAGCAGAGTCCTGTTGGATGAAGGACAAAATAGTAATAATGCCAATACTAATAACAATTAGAAAGGGACACGGGTGGCGCTGTGGGTTAAACCACAGAGCCTAGGACTTGCTGATCAGAAGGTCAGCGGTTCGAATTCCCGCCACGGGGTGAGCTCCCGTTGCTCGGTCCCTGCTCCTGCCAACCTAGCACTTCGAAAGCACGTCAAAGTGCAAGTAGATAAATAGGTACTGCTCTGGCGGGAAGTTAAACGGTGTTTCCGTGTGCTGCTCTGGTTCGCCAGAAGCGGCTTAGTCATGCTGGCCACATGACTCGGAAGCTGCATGCCTGCTCCCTCGGCCAATAAAGCAAGATGAGTGACGCAACCCCAGAGTCGGCCACGACTGGACCTAATGGTCAGGGGTCCCTTTACCTAATAACAATTATTTGATTTCTTACCTGTCCTTTCCCATACGGTCCCAGAGTACAGTATTAAAAACAGTTTAAAATATATTACAAGCTCACGAATAGGATCAATCCTAATATTTATATATCTCTCACAAGGGTCAAAGGCCAGGGTAAAGAAATGCACCTTCAGGATACAAAGGAAACTTCACAATGAAAGGACCAGATGCGTTTCTGTGGGGAAGGAATTCTACAACTTTGGGGCTGCCACAGAAAAGGCCCTGTCCTGGGGCACCCATCCTCTCTGTAAAAGCACTCACAATACCTGAGAGTGGTGAAACTACTAATAGCAGCCGCCGCCCCCTCTGCTGATCTTAACACCCAAGAAGGTCTGTAGCGAAGGAGGGGGTCATTCATATATTTTGGGCCTGAGTCATTTAGGGTTTTGAACGCTAATGTGAGCACCTTGAATTGGGCTCAGAAACGAACAGGCAACCAGTGCAGCTGTTTTAAAAAATTCCGGACCAGTTTCTGAGTTGCCTTCCAAGGGCAGCCCCACAGAGAGTTCATTGCACAGTCTAGAAATTAGTAGAGCAAGGAGTACAGTGGCCCAGTGATCTCTGTCCAACTTTGGCAAACCAGCCGTAGTTGGCAATTGGTTCTCCTAGCCACCAAGGTCACCTGAACCTTCAGCGACAATACTGGGATCCAAGACTACCCCCAAGCTATGGACTTGCTCCTTCCAAGGGACTGCAAACCCATCCAAAACAGTCCATTTTCCCACCTCCTAGTTCTGAGGATGAATCTTCAGCATCCTTTTGACTGGGGGAAGCAAATTTGTTTCAGCGGCTTCCAGAGAAAAATTTGCTCTGGGCTTTTTTCTTTTCTTTTTTAACGGAATAGTGATTGAGCCATCGTAGAAGTAAATAAAAAAGTAAATAAAAGTCTCACATGGTAGATTTGATTGGAGATCTTTGCAGCTGTGTGGAAATCCCAGGCAATGATGGTACGGTCAGCTGAATCTTGGCTTACTGCATCAGTGCTGGTAAGAAATTCTTTCCCTTCAGGGAGGAACATGATATCTAAGGTTTGCTGTACCGCAGCTTTGTAAACTTTTATTACCTGTGGTTAAAAAAAAAAGATTAAAAACCATAAAACAACCGTTGTTCCGGTGGCTTCTCAAGACATATTGCCTTTCCAAGCAGAAGAAGGCTATTTTAATGCAAAACATTAGTGGGTCGCAAGAAGAGGAGGGAGAATGTCCATTCAAGTTCAGGGGAAGAACTCAAGATGGAGGTGGGACTACATTGGCTTTTACATTTTTAGCATGCTCTCTAATCTCTGCACATATACCAAAACACTGTCATCTCTCACGGTTAAGGCTGCAGATATGCTATACATTTAAAGCACATGACTTTGCCCCAATGATTCCTACAATGCCCAACAGCCTTAAGTAACTACAGTTCCCATGATTCTTTGAGGGAAGTCATAGGCTCTAAATGCATAGTCACCTTTTTAGGTGAAAGCTGAGAAATCTATGCTGCTTTTAGAAGAGATAATTGGTGTAACCCATAGTTACTAGAACAATACTGGTTCTCAGTCAGGAAACACTGGATGCTTGGGTTGTGAACGTGATCCGTGCGGGAGGCACATTCGCAACCCACAGCGTTCGCAACCTGCAGCGCCACATCTGTGCATGCACAGGTCACGATTTCATGCTTCTGTGCATGTGCGAGCGCCGAAACCCAGAAGTAACCCGTTCTGGTATTTCCGGGTTCAGCGCGGTGCGCAACCCGAAAACACACACCTGAAACGTCTGTAATCCGAGGTACTATTAAAATGAGACAACTGCATTCCACCACAACTTCCAAGGGATCATGCATGGCACACAAAGCAATTAAAACTTCTTCTTTTTCAGTATCTGCATGCTAATAGGAAATTGATTTTTATTTCTGCAAAGAAATGATCACACATGGTTAGCTCCCCGAGAAAGTCAAGGAGCATTACCAGAAGAGAACTTGTAAGCTACTGGCTGGGAAAATGACTGTCAAAATAAATAACGGTTTACATATTTTAAAAAAAGGCCTCCACCGCTAGCAGCAACTGCCCGGAGAATGAAAATTTTGGTTAGGGGTGGCCGGCAGGGAGGGAGGGAAGAGCTTGCAATCGGAAAATCTGCAGCAACATTTCTGAATTATTTAAAGTTGCACAAGGAACGTGTGGGCTTCTAGTGGGAGAGGGAGGGGCGCTCTGACGAGCACGCAGTACAGGAAACGGTTGCCTGGCAACAAGACCCTTTGGAAGGGAAAGGAGTTAATATTGACAGTTGGAAAGATCAGAAGGGAGGAAAGCACAAAAGTGCAGAGAGCGCTAGACAGGCAGGCAGAGGGACAGAAGCTAATTAGTTGCAGACGGGGGACATGAAAGCAAAGGGAGAAGAAGCGAGAAAACAGTGGCTGGGAGTCTCAGAATAAGCATTTGTATTTTAATCTCTGATTAAGATGCTCCAAAACCGAAACGAAACAAAATACATAATTAGGGCGCTCATAAACCCAGTGTTTACTTGAAAGCCCTGCAGAATGTGCCTCCGGATGTAAATATGTTGTACTTGCACCCGAGGAATGCCGCATGGATCTTTCCCCCTCTTGTTTTGAAGATGCTTAACACTGCACCATCAAGACAAAAGAACTGTGAAAAATAAAAAATAAAAACAGAGAGAGGTAGGAAGAAACTAGACAGCAAGTTGCCTTTCTATTTGTGCTCACTTGATTTTTGTCACCTCTTGATTGAATTTTGGGAAAGTGGAACCTGATCATAGGAATGTATGAAACCACTTTTCTGTCAATCAAAGGGATGAGGAATATGCTGCCCTCCAGATATGGTTGGACTCCAGCCCCCTTCAGCCTCAACCAGCAGGGATGATGTGAGTTGTAGTCCAGCAAAATCTGGAAGGCCACAGGTAACCCATCCCTGTTATCCCTGAGCCATTCCATTAGTCCAGTGTTTCTCATCAATCTTGGGCCCCTAGCTGTTGTTGGACTACAACTCCCATCATCCCCTGCTTGCAGGACCAGTGGTCAGGGATGACGGGAGTTGTAGTCCAACCACAGCTGCAGTAGTTCAGTGTGTCTAGCCCAGTAGCGTCTATTTCCCGATTGGGAATGGCTTTTAGATGGTCTTTCCTAGACCTGCCTGGAGATTCCAGGGACTGGACCTGAATGCAAACCATGTGCTCAGCACTAGTGACCTCCAGCTCTTTCCAAAGGAACCTTAAACATCTTCAGATGGTTTGTAATCCACCTACCTACCTCTGTGTCATGGTTTAGACATGGGACAAAACCCCCAAACAAGATGGGAACTGGATGGGGACACATTGTTCTCACCTAAACTGGGCCATGTTATACTTGCAGTATTGAACACACCAACTTCAAAAACATATAATATCCATTTCAGGAATCAGCTACCTGCAACGTGATCTGAGCTCACAATTCTGCAAAAGGCTGTACTCAGAACCCACCAAGATGCATGCCAAAGCCTGCTGGAACAACAACAATGCCTCAGTCATCTTGGCAGTAGAATCAAAGATGAGGAGAGTCAAGAGGAAGAACAAAATGGCAGGGAAGTGTGGATCCATCACCACAGCAACAGAAGCTTCCTCTCCTTCCAGGAAGCCTGGATGTGTGCTAGGAGATCCAGGGCTTCCTGAGGCCTGTAGTTGGCTGTTCATATCTCCAAATCTAAAGCTTGAAAACAAGGCTACCAGGCCTACAAGAAACAGCAAACTAAGAATGTTGGAAAACATTGCTTTAGTGCTAAGATACTTCACCAAATTTGTGCTCTGGTAGGTTTCTGAAAGAAAACACTGTTATTTAAACTCTGCACTTTTAAAATCCTGGCATACTTCAGTAAGCTCATCCATTTGGTAGAAGAGGAAAATGTGTTGTTGGTGGGGTTTTTTGCTTCTTTATATGAGCAGGTTTATTTCACACATACAAACAGGTTTTCGAAAGCCTGCTTACTGAAGCTCAATATTCCCGGGCAATCACAAATGGCTTTCAGATAGAGGCACAATAGTGTCGGATGTTAACAAAAAAAAACAACCCAGTATTATGCTGGATTTTTTTTCTTACTTAAAGAGAGTTCGAAGCTGAAGGCTTACTTCAAGGAAGATCATTTGGCCACACAAGAGACTCGTCCACTTTTAATACTGTGAAAAGCATACATTGAGCTGGAGTCAAAAGCTGTTTCTGCACTGATGCGCTGCCTCCTTCGATTTGCAGTTGTGAACTCCAGAAATGAGTGCAACAAATCTGGACTCCACATTTTTGCAGCTTTGGACTCATTGCATGAGCAAGGCGTAGCCGGACTATAAAGCATCAAGCCTGACCACACAGCAGTTTGAAGTTGCCCCCCAGGCTTTCACAGGGAAATGCAGAGCACTTCGCTTCTGTTCATTCTCTCTCTCTCACCCATATTTATGTTCTTGTTTGTAATATTTATTCGCTGCCCTTCAGCCCAAGGTCTCAGCAAGTCTTACAAATTAACTGATAGAAAGAATATAACAGTAAATATAGAAAAGTAGGTTCAGAGCATAGCGCAGCAGAACAAAACACCAGCGTAAAAATAATTCACACAAGCTAAAAGGCCTGGGCAAAGAACAAGGCTTTCCACTGGGAGCTGAAAAGAAAACAAAGATCATGCCAGATGATCTCTGGGAAGGGAATTTGAGAAGTGGGTGCCACAGCTGAAAAGGCCCTGTCTCCAAACACCATCCCCCTTACCATAGATGGCAGAGGGACCAAGAGCAAGGCCTCAGTGGCTTATCTCAAAATTACAGGTTAATGGAGGTCTAAAGCCAATCCTTCAGATACTCTGGTCCCATGTTATATAGGGCTTGAATTTTGCTTGGAAATGGGCTGGAAGCCTATGTATATTCACAAGACCTGATGGGATATGATCTCCATGTCTGGTCTCTGTTAATAAGCGCGCAGCTCTAATTGGCAGACCTCAAAGGCAGCCCCACATAGCAGGTATTGCAGTAATGTGAACCAAATATACTGATAACTGCTACAAGGGTAGCTCTGTCCAGGAGGGATCACAGCAATAGTCAAGTGGATATGGGGCAAGAAACTGAAACAGAATCTTGACAAGGTGGTGGCTCTGTTGATCAGCTGTCCAGGGAGCTGTTTCAATCAGCTCCAGAAGAGACTCTACTTTCCATGCAAGATAAGGTGCACAGTTAGGGAGTGGTGTAGCACTTGTCTTTGTCTCTTGAGTTTCGAAAGGCATAAAGGACCTTCTATCCGTAGAGGTTTATCCACTGACTGCACCCCTAGACAGCGACAGTCTAGCCAATTATCCATGCCTTGGTAACTTAAAGGCTCCATGGACTACCACAAAGAGCTTAAAATGGGGCTGCCTTCGGAGACAGTTTGGAAGCTGCAGGTAGTCCAGGGGTTATACAGAGATCCTCCGGCACCTTCATTGTACAGCTTCCAGAAAATGCTGAAGATGCACCTCCTTACCCTGGTTTCTGGCACTTGAGGTGCATGTTTTTAGGGCCTGCCTGTTTTGTGGTTGTAAGCTGTTTTTAATATTGTGTTTTAATGTTGTGACCCGCCCTGTGACCTTAGGGCAATTTGCAGGCCCTAAGGGCCCTTTGTATTCCCGAGCCCATTCCTTCACATGTAATTCTACACACACACACACACCACTGCCAGTAGTCTAACTTCAGACTGTACAGTGGTACCTCGGGTTAAGTACTTAATTCGTTCCGGAGGTCTGTTCTTAACCTGAAACTGTTCTTAACCTGAAGCACCACTTTAGCTAATGGAGCCTCCTGCTGCTGCCGCGCTGCCGTCGTGCCGATTTCTGTTCTTATCCTGAAGCAAAGTTCTTAACCCGAGGTACTATTTCTGGGTTAGCGGAGTCTGTAACCTGAAGCGTATGTAACCTGAAGCGTATGTAACCCGAGGTACCACTGTACTTCTCTCTCGTCTCTTCGTTGAGTTAAGCTGCCATGCACATTGTTGCACTGTGTAAAATACATTAAGCAGACCAGCATTTCACACTCCCACCTATTGATCCAATAGAGCACATATACTCTTTCCAGTAGCCAGGCT